GCCATGTGGTCACCTCCGGGGCAGGCGGGAATCGAGCTCATGCGTAAGTGGCTTAAGTTTCTTAGTGCAGTGCTTTAACCCGCTGCGCCACCAGGGAGGGCCGGAATTCTATTTACTTTTAAAGTTCTGTGTATCACTAGAGCAGAATGTGAGATTTGGTATTTACCAAAATGAGGTTGTGTGTCTGACCTAGTATTCTTGAAGAGCAGTGTGTATGGCAACTAAGGGGAGATCGAGAAACCACACAGATCAGAGGAGATCGTAGGGATCTCGTGACTGACTGTACCTCGAGAAATATATCACAGGTAATTGTGATGTTAACAATGGGGGCTCAGGGGAGGCTATACAGGCCCTTTCCCTGTACTGTCTTTGTAATTTTAAAACAACCTAAAATTACCGGGAAATACAAAATAATTTTTAAGGAGGAAAGCCTGGTATGGTAGATCGCATTTTCTAAAAATTGCTGCAACAATATTTCCAGTTCCACTTCTTCAAAAAGTTTGCCACTTCTTCAAAAAGAGGTGGAGTCTGCCTTCTATCTTTTGAACGGGGGCAGGTTACTCAACTTCTCTGTGCTCACTGAGTTGCCTCCGCAATAGGGGAGGCGGGGGCAGGGGGTGCTAGTTTTATTTTTACTACGAAACAGGATAATATGTGTAGAGTACTTAGTGCTTGGAAATGTTGGCTGCCATCTTTGTTCAAGGCACAAGTTAGGAACTGTTATCAGAACTGGTACGTGAGGTGAAAGCTCAAGTGGCAGCCAAAGTACTTTAAATTGAATCCCTGGAGTTCCTTAAATGACTCCTGCTTCAGGGAAGACTCACTCCCAGGGAAAGAGACACTCACACACCTGCTCTGGCAGGAATGAGCTGGAGAAGACACATGCAGAGACCAGGAATGGACATTAACTATAGCGCTTCCCTTCAGGGAGGAAGGAATTCTCCATGGTGGGGTGGGGGGTGGGTAATGATCAGGACTGGCATCAAGGGAAGGGAAGGTGTTTGGCTCAGGAGTGGGTATGTGACCAAGTTCTTCCAATGAGATGTAGGGGAGGTCTTTGGGCAGAGCCTCTGGGAAAGTTTTCCTCCTTTCAAGAAGGAGATAGCGAGATGGGCTCTCTTGCCCTGAATTGTATGGATTGGAATGTGGCATCTGAAATGGCCACCCCCACCTTGTCACCATAAGATGCCACTAAACAGGACCTTCAGCAAAAGAGGAAATGGGCCTCTGACAATATCAAGCTGCTGGTTGTACCTTTCCTGAGATTCACCCTCTCCTATCTTGTTATGTGAAATAACAAATGAAAAACTGGTTTGAATTGGCTTTCAGCTACTTGCAGCCCTGAGATTGCAGAGCCTGAGGAAGATGGACTCACTGCCTTCTTATTTTACAATGGAAAGACGAAAGCCCAGAGGGACAGCCAAGTGTCAGGTCTCAAAGCTACCTAATGGCAGTATGAGACCAGGCATTTACTACCTTCTAACACAGGTACCAACCTATCATCTGACACAGGTTCCAGAATTTTCTGTCCATGCCCCACACCCCATCTGCCAGAGCCTTCTGTAGTGAGACATGTCTACGGAAGTTCATCTGATTTGAATCCAGCAGGCAATATTCTACCTAATTAAGTAATTATGATCAGGAAGACTACATCTCCGGAGCCTACCTGTGTTTCGTGATGAGCCTTTATTAAATCCTCACTGGTTGTTGTGACGGATGCCAGGGGCTGCAGAGACCTCTGGAAGCAGGTTCCTGCTGGGCCACAGTAGGGGCTGTGGCAGTGTCTGTTTATAGAATCTGAAGTCTGCGTTGGGATAATTAGCTCCATGTGATTGTCAGATTAATGTCACCTGGGCCAGAAGGTCTGTTGTTTTGCTTTAGAAAAACGAAAACCTTTGGAGATGGCCAATGACTGTGAAGTTGGAAAGAGCCTGACTCCTTACAGTGAGTGAACCAGAGCATGGCAAGCAGGGGTCAACAAGTGTGCTTGTGGATGAAACAGAGAGGACCCTGGAAGAAAATTTGTTGTTTTGCCTGCTTTCCCCATACACATATAGATACACTTACTTGTGCCCACAGCCTGGTGTGCAAACTCCCCAAGCAGCAGGCAGAAGTGGGCTTCTGAGAAGGCGCCCTCTGCCCGAGTAAACTGCTGTTAGCAAAAATTCAAACTGGAAAATTCAGGAAGAAGAAAGCATGGGATTTTCTTAAATTCCTTCCCTAAGTGAAATCATTTGATATTTTTCTTTCTCCTCTGGCTTATTTCACTGAGCATGATCCCTTCCAGCTCCATTCATGTTGCTGTGAAGGACATGAGTTTATCTTTTTTGATTGCTGAGTAGTATTCCATTGATCCAATCATCTAATTTTGGGCATTTGGGTTGTTTCCAGAATTTTAAGAGAACCAAATAAGATGGGGAGGGGGCGTGGGGAGGGAAGTGTATTATTACAATACAAAAACAAACAGTTATAGCCTAGAGAGATCCTACAGGGGAGGGGGACAGAGAGGGATCAGAATGAGGGAGGAGTGTGGGGGGCTATGGTGATGACAAGTGGGGGGGGAAGGAAGCATTGTCATAAAATGAACAATAATATAAATAGGTATATATAAAAATAAATAAACAAATAAAATAGAAGGAAGCTTGGGAAAAGCCGGTCCTAACAGAAGGCACCTTCATCTTGGAGCCTTTGCTCTGTTTCCCCAGGGACTAGCCCGTCAGCTAGAATTCATGGGAGATGTCCCAGCACCCACCCTGACCTTCCCTCAGAAGGCCTCTGAGAGCCCACTGTCTGTGCCACCTGCCTTGACTCAGCACACTGCAAATCTGCTCTGTGGGTGGGAGGCGCCCCCAGAGATGCTCCAGAGCAGCATTTTCCCTCCAGGCCATGCAGAGGGTGAGGTCTGGGCAGGTCTGGGTGTTGCAGAGATACTTCTGTGCCTTGGGGTCTGTTTACTGGGGTAAAGGGAGCCAACTGGGAGAAAGGGAGGCAGTGGACGTGGCCTTGGGTGCAAATAAGCGCTTACTACGGGACCCTGGAGGAATGTGTATCTCCCTGAACATGGGGGATGCCTAGTGCTTTGAGGGGTGCACACTGGACATGCCCTTGAGTACTGCTAATAAAACATGAGTTGAGCTGAACTTGTAACTTAGGGTTACCTGTCTTGGTTGCAAATAATTGAATCCAGAGACCAAGTATTTGTTCAATTTTCTGTCTCCCGTGGCTACAACACAGAAAGTCTCAGTAAACGCTTATTGATTTGTCAAAAGGAAACACAGTGTTGTGGCGAAGCTGGGTCCCTGCAGCTCCTCTGTCTAGGTTCAATTTCACGTTCCTCCTCCACACCCAGATGCTTTTCCAATAAAGCATAAATCTGAGTTGGTTTACATTGTTGGCAACGAAAAACCCTAGTGGGTACATTCATTCGTTTTTCTCTACTAATCTCCTACTCGTCCCGGACGGCACCCAGAGCTCCCACGGTGCATTAATTTGTCGTGGTGTGTCCTTCACCTCCTTTAATCTTGGTTTCTCAATCTTACCTTGTCTTTTACGACTTGGTCACTTCAAAGAGCACTTGTCAAGGGTTCTGTAGAATGCCTGTCATTTGGGTTTGTCGGAGGTTTTCTCATGACTAGCTTGAGGTCCTCTTGGATAAGACAACCTGAAGCGATATTGTGAGTCATATCGGGGATCCGTGATATTGTCACATCTTATCACTGGTGACACAGACTCTACTCACTGGGGTAGGCGGTGGGTATCTCTGCTCAGTTTCTGTTTTTCTTCTCATACTTATATTGTGGGGTGATACTTTGAGACGAGATAAATATCCTGCGTCTCATCATCCTCTTGCCCGCTAATTTTAGCATTCATGAATGATGCTTTAGGGCAAAAAATTACTGTAGTGTTTGCCTACTGTTGATTTCCTATTTTGATCATTGCTTCTACATTTATTAATTTGAATTCTACTGTAAAGAATAACTGCCCTTCTTATTATTTATTCAAATGTTTATTATATCATATGGATTCATGGATGTTTATTTTACCTTGTGAGTTATAATCCATCGCTATAATGTTTTCTTGCTCAGTTTATGTTGGATTTGACCATTGGGAATTCTCTTGGCTTTTATAGCTATATGAGTGGTATTTTTAATAGCTTTATCTTTTATTGTAAAAATGATATATCCCTGGGTAGAGGTTACATGGGATCCATCTGTATTATTTTGCAACCTTGTGGAAATCTATAATTTTTTTCAGGAGATACAGAAAAAAATCATTATCTCATTCCTCATACATAATCTCTGTTTTCTGGCATACTTCTTTCCAGACTTTTTTCTTCTTATGTTAAACAGCATCATGACACAGTTGTGGCCACTCAGAACACCACTGTCCTGGTTTCATCATTGAGGGAATGCAGAAGGCAGGGAGCTTGGCTCCAGTGACACCCACGTCAGTCACACAGCCACAGGGCCTGCTGGTGCTTTTTCTCATCTAATCCCAGGTGAGGAGGTGGATGGTGGCTGAACTGATCAGTGGGGCCTGGGGAAGGTCTCGGTCTACTGAGTCAGGAAGAAAAAGGTCCGAAGGTTGGTCCGAGTGGCACTTAAAGCTAGTAAATTCAGAATATACACAGGTCAGGCTGATTTTGCAGAGAAAAAGAAAGAGGGATAGAGCCATTAATAGAGGCAGAGAATAAAGGAGAAAATGTTGAATTCTTGCATTCTTTAACCAGCAAATCTGGCTGCCAAGAACTCAGTGGGTGTTTAACCGAACATGCTTAAGGTCTCGGTCAAGGATGGACTACCCGCCTCCACTCTGGGTTGCCCTGACAACCTCCTCCTGGTGTTGATATAATGGTGAGAAAGAGGGAAAACAGGCAAGTGAAGAAAACAGTCAT